TAGTCACCACAACAATTACAATGATTGCAAAGTGAAAGATATTTAGAGCGAAGAACAAAACACACCATGAAGTCTTTAAAGTGTATCTCCTCGAACAACTAATTATTAGAAGATCGTATCAAATGAGGCTACAATTAGGTTACAAGTTAGGCAGGCGCAGTCACCCACGAGCTACCGCGGGCACTGGCGGAGACAGGCGGGCACTGACTGCTGCCAGCGCCTGGCGAAATGTGGGCCTTCGAGGTGCGAAGTAGCCTGGCCTTTGGCGACAATTCGTCGCTGATAGCAGAAGCATGAAGTGGTTAGGCTGGGGAGCAGAGAGCGCACCGGGGCTCATACTTAGAAAGAAACCTTTAACAGGAAACGAAAAATTCGATACAAATTAAAAACTATTTTATGAAATTTATTTTAGACATTTTTTTCTAAGAAGTGAAGCAGTATGTGGTGACACTCTTTGAGCTGTTGCGATACATAGAACGCTCTTCAATGTCTTGTACTGAAGTTGGATTCTCTCTTTGTTTTTTATTATTTTCGCTGAGGATAAACGCTCCTCACATTAATATGTTGACCAAAACATAGATATAATCAACGCTGCATTTTATGAAGCTTACCAAAGACTTCTACTTGTAAATTCTGATATCATCACGGCAAATTAAGGATATTAAAACATCCACGAGAATTTTGCATTGAAGATGATATGCACACTGTGACTCAAGATCTTGAGCCAGGTAAAACTTACGAGTATCTGGGCATTGAAGAATGTGAGACCATCACGAATGACACAATGAAAGAGATAATACGTAGGGAGTATTACAGAAGAGTAAGTCCGCCCTGAACTCCACGAATAAGATTCTGTAAATGGTGGTTTAGCGGGACTTGTGGTCTAATACAGTTTCGGCCTGGACTACGTAAGAAAATCGAATAATGGATCAAAAACCAGAAAACTGCTAATAATGCATCATGCCGCCCACTCTCGAGCTGATGTAACTAGACTTTGTATGTCATGTAAAGATGAAGAAAGCCTCAAACAAATTGAAGACTCCTGGCACAATACAATAGTCAGGATGGGAAAGTATGTAGCCAGTCGTCAAGATGAATCTCTAATGAGGCAGGTCATGAAATATAACCGAAGAATTGGAAATAGAGGTATTGTTAGTGTAATAAGAAATATTGCCGAGAAAATTATGCAATACACGCAGAATAACACACAGTCTAAACTTCTGATGCTACTAAACATGAAGTATGAGATACAAAAAATGTTAAAGAAATCGTAGAGAGACAAACCAGTCCATGGACAATATCTAAAAGGAATGGACAAGGTGTAGAAAAAATAAAGATCAATATTTTATGTGGATTAGGTGGGGAAGAATGAAGCCAGAATCGGAAGCAGTTCTAATACCTGCTCAGGATCAGGCGTTAAAAACATGTCATTATGATCAAGCTGTTCTCAAAACTTCCCAAAATTAGAAATGTCGCATGTGTCAGGAACAAGTAGAAACCATTGATCATATCTTGCCTAATTCTAGCATAGACAAAATACTTGAAAAGACACGACAAGGGTGTGTAGTTACCTCGGCTGGCACATCTGTACCGCCCTTGAAGTTCCATGCCTTAAATGGTACGAACACTCACCAAAACCAGACCATCTGTTGGACTCTACACAATATTGTACGACAAACCAATTTAAATGGATCGCACGATAGCAGCAAACTAACCGGATATTATTACATCGTATTAACCTGAATTTGAAAAAAAAATCGTGTTTACTTGTAGATGTTGCAGTGCTTTTCTAACAAAACGTCGTAACCAAGGAGGCCGAGATTCGTCTTGAAAACAAGTGTTTGAAAATCGAGAACAGCCGAATGTAGGGCGTAAAGAACAAGTCGATAGTCATTGGAGCTCTGGGATTTGTTCCGCAAACTTTATGTAAGAACTTGGCTAAAATCCCAGGTCATACACAGGTCTGAAAGGGAAGCGAAATAAATAGCTTTATTTGGAACACCCCACATTTTGCGCAGATTTTTGTAGAGGCATCGACTGTTACTAGACTGTAGATGCACTAGACTGTATGCACAATACAGCGCTTCAGTTAAATGAAATTCCCCAACCACCCGGGCTTCATTGTTGCTGGGCGTTGCAGTGTGACGCGCGGCAAAACAGGGGAGGGCTGGATAAGCGGGTGGCACAGGATGAAGAGACGAGAGGGGAGAGAGAGAGGGAACAAGAGAAAGAGGAAATGAAAGAGGGGGAAAGAGAGAGGGGGAAGAGAGAGGGGGAAAGAGAAAAAGAGGAGAGAGAGAGAGGAGAAAAGAGAGAGAGGGAAAAGAAAGAAAGGGTACAATAAAGAGAGGGAATAAGAGGGAGAAAGAAGATTATGAGAGGAAAAAGAGAGCGGGGAGAACAGAACGAAAGAAAAGAAAACAGTAAGAGAGAAAGATGCGGAAAAAGAAAGAGGAAAAAGAGAGAGGGAAGATAGGAAAGGGAAGAAGGGAGAGGGAAGAAGACAGACGGGAAAAGAGTTGGAAAAAAGAGAAAGAGAAAACGAGAGAGGGAAAAGTAGAGAAGAAAAGGAGAGAGAGGAAAATACAGAAAGGAGAGAAAATGAGAAGGAATGAGAGAGACAGACAGACAGACAGACAGACAGTCAGACAGAGAGAGAGAGAGAGAGAGAATAGGTAGAAAGTAGGATAACCTCTATGGAATTCTGCTAGTATTGAGATAAATTTGAAATTAATTGTATTAATTTAGTGAAGTGTAGAATCCCTTATGCACAACCAATGAATATTCTTAAATGCAAATACCGTACTTCAATAAAAGTGTATAATTTGTTTAAGCCAGAAATTAATTAACAATACTTCAACTAATTTGGTTTCGAATTATATAGGTATACTGAAGTGTAAACATTCAAGTGGAAATTTATCTTCATCAAACTGCTTGAAGGTACAGCATTCGGGGAAAGACATTTAAATTAAAATTTTCAAGAAGTTTGAAGAAAAAATGTTTAAAAGCTTTCTATATTTTACGCAAATTTACTCAAAAACTATTTATATTTTCTAACAATTGTATACGGCATTATTTCAAGATCAGCCTTTAAACAACATAAATCATTAGGTAACTGTCTTTATCTACAAAGTTATAGCTATTACAAGACGCCGAAAAAGTTTTGAACTATTGAAGGTTTAGAAATTAAACTTGCGCCACTCATTAAGTTTTTTACTCTTTCCAAAGACATAATTTCATAAAATATTTTGAGTCATTATTGAGAAAATTTAGAAAATGTTTTCGGAAATTATTAATTTTAGAGAAAATTGTCTGCGCCATAGCGAATATGGTTTGTGATCTAGCGTTGACTGCCCACAGACTGACAGGCCATTATTTGCCATCAATAGATTTTTCGACATCATGATCCCCCAATACGAATTTTGACTGTACGTGTTTGAAGAGTAATTTACTACACATAGGAAGACGATTAATCTACTTTCACGTTACTGAGACATGTCGAGATTTTCTGTCAAATATTCACCGTTTTTCTCAGTTTATCAATATTTTTTTGTATTCTGTGTAAGCAGTACGCGATAAAGTGTAAATGCAAATGTTTAATAGTATTCAGTTATGTCCGGCGATCATTCGAATATGCCGCGCAAGCGCCATAGTCAACGCGCGCTCTGTGAACCGCTAGTAGAATCGGCAGCGCGACCGAGATACGCGCCATCGGGCTCCTGACGAGGAGGGAGTTTATGCCAGCGTTTCGCTCGTTATATAACGGGCCAGCCAGCACAGGGAAGGCAGTTGCGACAGTGCAGTGAGTAGCGAGAGCACACAGTGCCAGGAGTACGGTGGCCTACGCCGCACCAAGGAGACGAGATGGAACCCGGCCAGCACACCAAACGGACGGGAAGGAAGCTGCGACATTGCCTTTCAGTGACGTGACGCAAGCCACCGGGCGCTGCAGGCCTAGGGAGGCCCACGCACCCACCGAGCCAGGAAGCACTCGGTGTCAACTACTGCGTGGTAGTGGGAGAGTCGCCCACCCACACCGCTAAATGGTCCAACGTGACCCTTGGCACGACAGCCGGAGGTGACGGCCGAGCAAGGGAGGCTGCAGCCCCGGACTTCGGTCTACACAGCCGGAGGAGACGGCCTGGCGTGACGAGTGAAGCGCCACGCTGTTGAGAAGCTGGACGATCAATTTTGGGAAAGGCATTTGAATTGTACTGCATTTGAATTAATAGTCGAATTGAGTTTTACGAAATGTACAAAGTTAGATGAAATAAAGTTATGTTTAGCCGATCAACAATATTCATTTCCTGAACAGAACAGTGTATAATCAGGTATTTGCAAAAATTCGATTTCTTGAGATTCGATATTTTTTTATAAACACAGACAGACACTGATTCATGCCGTTACACTTGGAACGATGGAGAAAGGTAAACACAAAAATGTTCAGAAAAATATGTAAACTATCGGACAAAGACAGACGTAGAATTTTCTTTTACACGTACAAAGACAAGAATGTCAAAAAGGTATGTAGGCATTTCGAAAACGTATTATCGTCATACTCGTATGGTAAAATTCTCAAGAGACTAATCATTTCTATTCACATCTTGAGAAAATATAGTGAAGCATTTCATGCTTTACGTTTTGGATATGTTTGAATGTAGAAATTATATTGTTATAACAATATAATTATTCCAATATATTCGAATAAACATTGAAGTACTGTTTATTAGAAGAACATTCTCAAAAGTATGTAACATTTTTGAATAAAAATAATATCATGACCTTTTACTGTTAAGAGTAAGTTGAACTTCATAATACCCGTATCATCTCATTGTTTAACTGAAAACCAATCAGACAGCTTACCTTCTAATCATTAAAATATAAATATCAGCATATTACAAGAATGACCTGCTTGAATGAAGGTGGCAATGATCAATATCATGGCAGCGTGATAAATAGAATAAGCACTTGAGATATCAAGAGCTTGAAAACGATATAAAATGAAAAAGTTCGTAGCGCTGGACAACCAGTGGAAAATGGCTTCGCTGTGGTTGGTCATTCTAGCAACGGCTTTATTGAGCATTGGCCATGCCTCTGCAACCTGTTCTTTTCATCATACATCGTTCCCGGTATGTAGCACATTACATCAAGCGCTTGTAATCGGTGTGTTGTGGAACACTGTGTGACGACCAAAGGCACGAGAAAGATTTTCACTACCTTATTTTACGAAAGTAAAACAGAATTTGAATTATAATTAGGCAAACTGTGAGATGCAAATATTCATGATATTGCTTTGTGGAATGGTTGTATGGTGTAATTTTATGGAATGGTTGTATATTACATTTTTAACTAAAAATAATATATTTCTGAACTAAACTTCAGCTCTAAATGTACGAAGATAAGCATGATGATCTAGCACTTTTCTTATACTTATTGTAGATTCTTTACAATGCATTTTATGACACATGTTATGTCTCTCAGCAATATATAGCTATCAACTCTAATGTTGCAAAATCACTATTCTCAAGTTTATACTTTCTTTCAATAATATTGTATAATTGTATGTTGATAAATAAATGAAAAGCCATTTCAAATGTAACAAAGCTGAAAGGAATCTTAAATCAATTATTTACAGACTAACGTCGCTTTTACCATTTTTAAATTATACATTTTCTTTTTCATCATAAAAATGTGTTTCAAGTGTTTGACGATATTTTACATAAATTTCATTAATTTTGTGGTATATCATATACAATTAAACATTAAACATAATTAACAATCTTAGAGGTAGTTTCATGAAGGGGCCTTTGAACAGCTATTTTAATTTTCGTGATATGTTACTACTGAATAGGTAATACGTGGAATTATAGAGGATGAAATAAATCTTTCGAATGACGAGAATTAATTCGGAGTAAAGGGTTAGCTGAGTGTCCTAATTGGAAAGTGTGTCGCTGAGCAAGAGATACGTAAAGAGTAGAAACTGTTTGAAAATTTGTTTATCCATGTTTGAAGGGGTTCAATAGAAGGTTTTCTCTGAATTTGATTATTTCTAATAAACCATGTCAAAATTTAAAACACGTCTAAATAATCTATTTTGAATAACTTCAATTTTGTGAAAATTGGTTTTTGCTGTCCTACCCCATATTGGACATGCATATGTGAGGGAAGGGCAGAGTATTGTTTTGTATATTGTGATAGCTGTTTCAATTTTCATGGAAGATTTTTTATTTATAAATAAGAACAGTTTAAGTACTTTAATATTTGTTTTATTTGCCGTGTGTATTAGATGACTTTTCCAAGTCAACTTTGTATTTACATTTAAGCCAAGGTATTTAACAGCAGTATTTGGAGATAGCTATTACATTGTGGTGTTATTAATTTTTAGTCGATTCATATTTTTAATTCGTATTAATAAAAATACCTTTGCTTGACATTTTGTAGGGTTAATATTTATTTGTAAATTGTTTGCAACGAATTTGCAAGGATTAGTAAATCATGTTGTACGTTTTTTCGACTTTGTCAAAGATCATACGTGAAGTGTATAATGTTGTGTCATCAGCAAATAATGCAATTTCTGAACTTTTAAATGATGGTAGATCAGAGAAAAATATATTAAAGAACAACGGAGAAAGTGGGGCTCCTTGAGGTACTCCGGCTGAAATTGGATATTCATCAGATAATTCTGAGTTAATATGCACTTTCAATGAATGGGATATAATAAAAATCTTAATTATGGACATTCATAATATGGAATTCCTATATGCCGTGGTTTATACAATGGGCCATCATGTCAAAATTTATCAAGAGCATTTTCAATATCTAGAAATATTGCAAATGTATGTTTAACATTTTGAAAGTTGGCAGCGATATAATCAGTTAGCTTAAAAGTTGATGGATTGTAGAATGATTACTATTGAATCCAAATTGAGTTTTTTAATAAATTAATTTTTGTAATCTTGAAAGTAATGTTTTCTCAAAAAATTATGATAGCGAGTAGAACAGACTATTTGGACGAAAGTTAATTGGCAGTGAGTGATCTTTATTGGGTTTAGGAATATGATGAATAATGACTAATTTTCAATATTTAGAGAAATAATTTAATCTGAGACATGCATTATAATTTGATTTTAGTGAACTAATGATTGGAAAAGGTAACTTTAATTAGGGATTTGATCATGTCCTGGAGATTTTTCACATTTTAACTAATTATATTAAATACTTTACTTCAGAAGGTAAAACAAATTTAACTCCTTCTGGTGCTATGAAAAATGTATTATCTATTTCTTGTGATTTTGTTAGAAAAATTGTATTACCAGGGATATTAATGATAAATGTATCTGCAAAATGCTTCACTAATACAATTATTTTTCAAAACCTGTTATTGCTATTGTTTTTTCTGATTTGATAGAAATTAATTGTTTCTATCTATAGTTATTATTTTAATGGCTTTCCATAGAGAATGGGAATTTGGTTAAAGTTGAGAAGTATTTTTTTGAATTTGACAATATCTATAAAATGTAAGTGAAATTTTAACTTTTCTGTTTTAATAGTTTAATGTTCTTTTAATAGAAGGGTCTCGAGTATTTTGCCATTTTCTTCGGGTTTTCTGCTTTAAAGAAATGAATTTCAATTTTTTAGGGAGTATTGGATTTTTAATTTGACGAACGTGTTACTTTTTTGTGGTAGATATACGAAGATATTAATTTTCCAACTTCTTTATAGAAGAATCGAATTATTGCTTTAACATATTGAATACAGTAAAACCCAAATGGCAATTTTTATTGAAAAGTTTGGACCCGTCATTAAGAAAATGGCATTTTAGCGCTACTGTAAGTTCGAAATTTGAACCTCTTTTCACAGAAAACTATGGGGTATTCAAACATCTTCATATTCATTTCTAGCACTTTCAGTACAAATACAACAGTGTTTACAAATCGCTGGAATTGTAAATATTAAAGGCATGAGAGATCTTTCAAATATACATATGTGTAATTTTAGAAAACAAATAAATACGCAAAATTAATTATGTCATCGTACATAGTGCAATTAGCACTATCTGTTACAAAACCTTGAATAAATTTTTGGAGCCTGTTTTGAGAAAATGGTGTATGAGCTTTTCTGAAAATGCGGAATATTGAGCTCATTTACATTGAAAACTATTGCGTTTTTGAGAAACTTATCTTACATTATTTAAAGCACATATAATCATAAATACATTAAGGTAAAGAAATTGCCGCTCATGTAAATATTAACTAAGTGAGAGACATTCAAAAAATCACATTAGTGATTGTTTTTAAAACATTTAAATAAAGCTATTTGTCATTTATGACATACGAGAAAGTGCACTTAGCACTATCCCTACCAAACATTTAAAGAAAAAATGTGCAGACGTTTTTGAGAAAATCTTGTTTTTGTGAAGAACTTTCTATATCATACAAATTTTATTTGAAAGAAAACTAACTTCAATTTTTTAATTTAAATGACTTCAAATGAAGATTTTTTAAATACACACCAACGTTTCTGTGAAAAGATGTTCAAATTTCGAATTTGCAGTAGCGCTTAAACGAAAATTTCTTAAAAACCGCTCCTCTTTTTCAAAGAAATTTTCCATTTATGACGAAGTTTTACTGTTGTTTCTTATTCTTAAAATAATACCCCCGTTCTTCTAGTAGGAATCCAAAAAATTAAAAAAATGTCAAAAAACTTTGAGCGGCGATAGATGACAGCTGACAAGAGTATGTGGCAAGTTTGAATAGAAGTCGAGAGCAAATGAAATAGAAAACTAATTTGGGAATGTCTGTGCCATTCTGCACCACCATCAGTTTCTTGCTGCGTTCTGTTTCTCTTTGCGCACAATTCCCCTATTACTAAAAAACAAAAATAAAAAGGAAAAATGATTATTATATTTATTTTACCAAAACTCAATAAGGCAAATACTGTTTCACGTGGAATCTATAATCTGAATTATAATATATATCTATAATTTCTTTCAAAGAAAATCAATGCATTTTGTTTGAATATTTGAAGAAAAAGGTGAAGAAAGAAACCAAAGAGAGTAGTCTTATTTCAAAATGAATTTAGTATATTTGCCATTTGATTCAATACAACAATTACTTTTATAATAATGCACACATACCACAAAAGTGTATGCAATTAAAAATAAGTTAAGAAAGTAGTCAAAAAGCCACACACAACGATTTCGTCATGCTAATCGGAGGTGGAATAGGGCAACCAGCTGCTACAATACAGAACACATGATGTGAAGCATTGGTCACTGTTTTTAGTGACAATGAAAGAAATCGTCAGGATTGATTACTCTTATAGGGTAAACTAATAATGATACGCCACAAAAATGATATAATGGATTTTTGAAATCCACTAATGATCTTATAAAATCTCAAGTACATGAATCTCTTGTTGTGAAAACATATCTAAACTGAAACAAAACTTATATTTTTTCATAAACAAAATAAATCTAAAATTTGTATTATTTACTGCATTTTCTTCCAAGGTCGTAGAACCTAGCGAGCTAGATTGTGAGTTGTTAATTACAACTTTTGTTTCTACTAATAATTTTGTTAACTACTTAGAAATTTTATTAATACTATTAGAAATGTATTAAACAAACAACCTTGTGTTGTTTTTCATTTCAGAGTGTACAACCACTTATCCTCGCTGACAATAAATTCACGGACGTGCGCAGAATCATAAAACCAGATTCTTCTTCCCAAATAACGGTGGCACAGGGAGAATATATCACTCTCGTTTGCCCTGGTCCCTACAATTATTTGTCAGGCGGCAACGTATTTCCTCAGCAACTTCTCAGAGCACTATGTGTTTCTGGATCGAGCTTCTCCGCTGATGGACGCACGATCGACGTTAATCAGGTATGTACCCTTTTTAATATTTTAGGACCTTACATTAGTTTTATTATTCAGTTCTTTGGCGATATCAATTTCCTTTACCGTCATTATATTTTCTTTTACTTTCTTTTCTTCTGTACTTGGTCTCATGACCTACGACTTGTTACAAAATATTACTTATCTATTGATTGAGAAGTAGACAAAATGAAACCGGGTAAAGAAAGTGTATTTTGAAAGTTGCATGCAATGCACTCCGGTTAATTTTTCAGGGTTTAACTTAGGAAATCCCAATGAAATCAATTTTATTTACTAACCAATATTTAAAGAATACCTCGTTTTTTGTAATCATGTAAAATTAACTTCAGTCTTCTCGCAGTCTTCTTTCGTGATGCGACTCTACATCATTCAAAATAACATCCCTATGGACCCGTAGCGTGGGCTTCCTTACAACTACAGGTTTATATTCTGCTGTACATCACCCAAGAAATCTACCTCGAATCACCCGACTCTTTCCTAAATCTTACCTTATCCTTTAGCATTCGAAAGCTCCATCACTTTTTATCATAAATTATTTCAAATACCGTGCTCGATTAGGAGTGACCTAAATTTTAAACTGTCGGCTGTCGTTATCAGAGGGATGGCTAGCTTCTGAGCATTTCCAGGATGAGCAAAGATGGTTAGCCGCTCAGCAGGACTAGGATGAGTAGGTATGGCTACCTTCTTTGGCATGCCCCGGGAAAATAGGGGTATGGTCGAGCTAGAATAAAATTATTTGGTTAGGTTGGCATAGCGGCCCGTATGTTCCTTGCTGTATTAATTGCTATGGAGATCGTGAAGTTTAAGAGCAATATGTCGTTTTCATCATTTTCCACATTGTGGAGAGGACACAAATATGGCGAAAGATTTCAGGATTATTGAGGCTTGTCTGTGGAAGATTATGTCAGGTTTCCATATTGGTAGAGTGTGTGATAATTTGAAGCAGGTGTTGGTTAAAATGCTGAGATCTTCCTTCAGCAGTTTTTAAAGAGTAATGTGGTAATATGGACGTGCCATGCAGATTATGAAGTGGGTTTATGAAATTCCAAATTGCTTCTTCCATGGCAAACCAATTGCAATTTTCTTCTTGGTATTAGTTTACACCATTCCTAGCAAGGTTAACTGATTGAGAGAAATTGCTGGTAAAACAAAATCCGATCTAGATAATGCTGTCTTTATACCGGGCTGTAAAATACGCTTTCGCAATATATCCGCAAATAAGTTTTTACTTCAGGGTCTCATTTGTATGCCAATAAACAATCCGACTTCTGAATGGCGATAATTTCCTCTGCAGTTCAACATAATTGTTTGTGAATGCACCACATGTCCTTGGGATATTTATTATTAGCTTTTTACGAAGTTTTCTCATTAATTTTGTTAGAATTAACAAAAGCTCCTTGATATTGTTTTCGATCTTCAATGAATGTATCACTGGCTTCGTCGTGCCGGGTTGAGTACTTTCTGCTTGCAATCGGTGGTGGATTCATCTGAGATTTAAGATTTCTGGAAATAATTTGATTGGTGTGGGTACCATTATTGGATTTTGTTTCCAATTTATAATCTTACTATAATAATAACAATGATAATAACAACAACAACAACAATAATAATAATAATAATAATAATAATAATAATAATAATAATAATAATAATAATAATAATAAAGGAAACACTATCAACATTATTAATTTACTGTTAAATTGCAGGTGGCGTGTTACGCTCAACCAACAACAGATGTGATTGTCAACGGGCAAGGAACGTGTGGATTAAACACAAATATCATCCAAGTGGGTTTCAGTATTCCTGCTCCATTATCTTTCTTCCTGAAATTGTATGAAGTATGCTACGACAGAGTGAACTTAACTCCTGTAAACACGCGACATTTAGTCGTCTCAGGACCCCGTGGAAGCGCCAACACATCATACAGTGCCTTTTTGCTGCCCATAGAACCAGCTATAGGCATTCTAGTACATATCTTATTTTATATTATTAATTATGATTTTTCTATACAGAGTGCGAGAGAAAAAAAGGGTGGATGATATCACTTCCTTATAATCATAGTGGAGTGTGTCGGAATTTACTTGGGAGGAAATTGCGATTCAAAGTTTTATATTTATATACTAGAAGAAAGGGATAATAATTTGTTTAACCATCGCAAAGTAAAAACGTTTAGATACACTTTCGCTTCATTAGTAATTGAAAACGAATCAATTTAGGTTCTATTTAATGGTTCACACTTGATTTCTTTCATTTCCGTTAGAAATGAAAACAATAATGAATATAGAATTTGTTTTGGAAAACCCATTTATTTTAGGAATCTTCTATATAAGTGTTGTACTCATTTAAAGGCTCCCAAAGACCGGCGATAAATGTCCGCAACCTGTGAGAAATGTCACCAGCAGAAATTTTGTGTCTCGTGATGACGTATATTCAAATCCTGAAATATTTTAAGTCTTTTATATAGTATCTCTTCCCTTGCATAGCGCGTAAAGCTTACCGGTACAACTTTCCCTGAGTAGTATGTGTAGCACTAGTTAACACGAAATATTCCTAAGCATATTTGTGTCTTATGCTTTCTATCGAACACATTGACAAGTAATAAAAGGGAATAAATATCAAATAGTTATCGTTGTGTAAATGTAAAAATGTATAAATCCTTGTTTTAAAAAATTGTTTCAATTTTTAGATTACTTACTACCAAGCCAGATAGAATCGTTTACACTGCAACTGGGCGCTGAAAGTGCGGAGAAATATATTAATTCCACGCATTATTTGGAGGCAAAGCAGCTAGTACCTGGAGCAGACTTTGTGTTCAGTCCAATGCAGTTGTCTACATTTTTCTATTTCAATACGGTAAGTAATTATATGTATTTGCAACGAATGAAATGTGTAAAATGCAAATACTGATTTTGTATTCTGACGAATGAAGTGATGAAAAATTAATGGAAAACCGAAAACAATTGGTGGGGAGATTTGACCTAATATACACGTTTAATCCAATCATGCCCACTCAAGGCCGGGCGAATTTGAAATGGATGTTTTAATTTTTTGAGTGTTTCGCAGGAATTTCCTAATGTATTTTGTGAGAATACTAAAAATTAGAACAATTTTAATTAATTTTTGCCCCAATAGTATCAAATGCGCTAGTAAAAACTGTACAGGCTTTTTGTATTTATAATGTCTAAAAGACTTTGAAAATTTCAGAACTTTAATTCTTTTATATTTGTCATAATCAAATATTTGTATTGAAACTAGATATTACTTTCGTAAAGAAATTTACTGATCAATGTTTGTTCATTTATATGCCCCTGAACTTTTAGAATACGTTGGATTTTGGGGATAATTTTCACTTACTTCGTGAAAACGTCCTTTTTTGGGTGTTAAAATAACCACAAAATTCAAAATCCATTTTAGCAGCTGAGACATATAAGGAACCCTGCTAATAATTCGCAACGTGTGACTATGCTGACACAACATTTCCGGATGGGCCAAGGCCAAACAGCGACGTACCCGCCTTGCGGACATGGGTTAAAGGAATATAACTGGTTACCACATAGTGCAGCCCTACGCCCTTCTCAACATAAACTGACCTTTCTCAGCGTCACAAAACAGTAAAATAAGCAACATTCCAAATAAAGCACACACTTTAATGTGCTCAGACTAGGAATCAAAACCGGGAACGCCTCATGGAAATTCAGCCAACTGACGAGTGAACTACCCGTGATACCGCAACACGTAAAACGGATTAAAACTCATCCAAAATTAATGCCTCTTTTTGTCATAAGTTCAAGAATTATACAAACATTATTCACCTGGTCAAATGACATTATAAAGAAGAATAATAATAATGCAATCTCTATTCAAAATTGATTTCGTTATTTATTTCTTTCACCTTCCAGGTCCCGCTTTGGAATGACTTCATCTCTGTATTCTGGAGTCCCCTGGAATCATCTATTAGACAGCTGACCTACTCTCAAGGAGAGCTCGAAATCTACACGGGAATAGTAGGTGTTGCCACGCTGCCAGACAGCAATGGGCGCCAGGTGTCCATGTTCCTGCACGCTAAACCCAATGAGCTATTTTTGCCGCTACCTGCATTTCTATCAAAATCCGTCGTTAATTCCAAAGGTCAACAAGTCATTTTCTTGCAAATGCAGCACGTAGAAGGAGTTACGAGAACACTGGCGGTAAGCTAATTTGTTGTTAAGAATCAAATAGTAAAAACACGCTTACAAAGTATATAATATATTTATTTATGAACATATCATATCCTTTGTAAGCGTGTTTCTTTTTGATAAGTTCCGATGCCGATAATATGTCCCTATGTAATTACGAGTTACCCTCTGAACATTTGAAGATAGAGAAATACTAGTTTCTTATGTAACTGTAGCACATTTTAGTCACTAGCAAAATAGTCAAAGAGGCTTATAGCTAAAAGACGCTTATTGTTTATTCTCTCAATTTTCTAACTAAATGTAGGTAACTAAGCCTAGGTTTGACGTGTGTTCCCACAAGCCGGGTACTTTCTTTGCTACTGAATTCTTGTAAATATTTGGTGTGTAAGAAGGTGTAGAGCGTGTGTGCAAAGGGCACATACTTTCTCCTCTGTGCCATTCTTCTTATAAATCTTTGAGCTAATGTGTGCTGTGTGTGCGCAGGCCAGAGGACGTATGCTCTCTACTCTGTTCGATTCATCTTCTAGATCTTTGAGCTAATGCGTGCTCTGTTGCACAGGTGGGGAGCGGGTGCGCTGAGAGGGTGCGCTCCCCTCTCTGTTCCATTTTTCGTCTAAAGGTTTGAGCTAAAGTGTGCGCAGACAGAGAGCGTGTGCGCAGAGGACGTGAGCTCTCCTCTGTTCGATGAGATAAGAATTTGAGGTAGTGAGTGCTGTGTGTGTGCAGGCCAGAGGACGTATGCTCTCTACTCTGTTGGATTCTTCTTCTAGATTTTTGAGCTAATGTGTGCTATGTGTGCGCAGGGGAGCGTGTGCGCAGAGGACGTGTGCGCGCAGCTGCGCTGGCTGCCGTGGCGCCACGTGCCCGCCGAGGAGCGCCCGTTCATCACGTGCTGCCGGGCTGACGACCCCGTCCTGCTCCGCCACCTGCCCGTCGCCTTCGCAAGAGGCCTTGCGCCCTCCACCGGTCTGCTCGTCGGCTAAGCAGAGCACTACGACTAAGCTACAGAGTCAACGAAGCAGACCCTCAACCGGCTACGCTACAAACATTACCTACAAGTTCAATTAAATTTCATTTCCATCTGGAGGGTTTCGTTGATGTTGACGAAGTAATTGTTTAAAACGTTTTTGATAATTAAACACCGTACAAAAGTCTTTGGAGTAATGTACTTCGATCTTTACTATCCTTTATTATATTTACGATACACGTAAATTATATTCGTAACACTGTATGAACTGATTTTGTTTTCATATTTTTTTATTAAATTGAACATATTCGTTTCGATGTAATTAACTTAGATGTTCGAAGAGAGTGTTTAATTTTTTAAATAAATTTGAATTAAATTTTTATTTTACACTTTATTGCCCGATTTACTTGTTCTATCCGCCTTTGAGCTTTGCGCTGTAGCGCTATGTGGGAACAAACATTTTCCCAGAAAGCTGTAAGGCACCATTCGGGGCACATGCGTGTGTTTTTGTAAACAAATTATTTTGTAAACAAATAATTGAATATTTCCTGCATATTTCAGCTTGGGTTCTGGTGAACAACTATTTTCTATTTACTGCTCTCTCTCTCTCTCTCTCTCTCTCTCTCTCTCTCTCTCTCTCTCTCTCTCTCTCTCCCTCACTGTCTGTCTCTCTCTTTGACACCGAAACTCTTATTACCGAGTCTTTGTAACGAAAATGTTAGTAAATCCAGTTGCTAAATATAGTTTACAATCCATGTTTTGTTACTCCTTCTCGCAAAGTCGATTGACGTCAATATGTCTGATCGGCTATCCCTCTGTCCGTCTGTCGATCTGTCTGTGTCTTTGCACAATGCTAGCGCATAAACCGTTCATCCAGTGGCAACCGCCACCCCCTATTACGTTTTGGAAAAACTCAGACACCCCGGCTTGCCCGTGGAGTGTGGTGTATCAATCCCCAAACACTATCCTGGTTGAGTGAAGGTGACTGTACAAAAATTGGTTAGACGGTCAATTTGCAACGCATGTGCCCCATATTATTTAATTGGCTGTCCGGGTGATGCCGCGTCCATGGCAAAGGTAACAGCCTCGGATATTACGCCCTGACGAAGATCGCAGAATGGCGACCGAAACGTCGGCACCTTCGCCATGAACGCGGCGTCACCCGGACAGCTTAGTAAGTACTGACTCCGGCCGCGGTAGCTTGTTGCGCTAATCTGTAATACATTTCGTAACGGTTCTCTCTCAACACTGGTCTGGATTTTTGCCTCAGACAGTTTTGTACAAAATTAGCTCTTTAAAAATGTCATGGAAATTTTTTTGGAAAGAGAGTAGTTATTGCATAATTTCTGCTTGAATACAGGTTTCACAGCCACTACGGAACATGACAAAAATTGAATGAATGAATGAATGAAAGGAAAAATAATTAATTAAAATTTACTACTGAAAAGACCAAAATTTATTCATTATTTACTTTCTCGCACTTTTACTTTTTACAATTTCCAAAACAAGAATTTGCCCCAAACAGCAAAAAAATGTTTTTTTTAAATGTTTTTTTAAATTTTGGTAGTGATAGTTCTAAATGCACTGTAGCATATGGAATAAACGCAATGTTGCTTTATTTTTTATGTTGCCGCTACTGCTTACGCAGTTTACAGAGAGTATTGTAATGCTGCGGGAAAACGGGAAATTTTCGATGCAAATCTCTTATTGCCGTGCCCTAGTAATTACAAAATGGACAAATTTCGTCTCTATAAATAGTAAATTACTTCTAACACGTTGTGCAGTCAGAATGCATGTTTTGTGGGATCTTGATACAGAAAATTCGATTGATGGCAAAAGTTTGTCTGCCCGTCCATTCTGTAAACATCAGTAGCGCCTAAACCGTTCAGCCGATTTTCTTCAGAATTGATATTCTCCCGTCAATATGACTGATGTCGCCGCCCCTTGAATTTAACAACTTTTATTTAATTTTAAATAAAGAACTTGAAATTAGGGTATGGAGACATTTAAAAAAGTAAAAAAAGGGCCCAAATGTTGTTATTAATCTTTACATTTTGTTATAATTTTATATTTTGTAATGCGGAAAAGAATACAATGAGAGCCTAAGAACTAGCATATAAAAGGTCCAGCGTAGGGCATCAAAATTATTTTCAGGGACACCAACAATAAAGAAGATTAAAAGACACACGAAAGAAGAAGAAGTCGCGTCGCTATGTTATGTATACAATGTGCACAGGCCTTCGAGCGTGGATATAAATTCAAAGTCGATTAGAGAAACCTACATTTTCGGCAGAGCGGATCACATACACGAAATTCAGACAAAAATTCAGAAAACGGACGTTTGAAAATATTCATTCGTGAAACGAACTATTAGAGACTGGAACGATTTGCCTATGACAATCTTCGATCTCTTTCCTCAAAACCTGAGCAAATTTTAAAATAAATTAGTTTTTCTGACTGTCGATAACCGTATTACAAATGTATTAAAATTGTTCAATTACAAGTCTACTATATAAGTTGTATTATTATTATTATTAATTATGTGCAGTGTAGTGGCGTTGTGAAATTGTGGGAAACGAGTGTGTAAGAATGACATTACAGCTCAGTGATCCGCAGTGCGGTGAAGTGAAGTGTGGTGAGGTGGATTGCTATGAAAGATTGCACGGTGATATGTTCACGTTAATTTATAAAGTTTGTAAAATTTGTTAAGTTCTGTAATGTTAAGTTAGTGTATTCTGCCACCAGGTTCTCAAACTTAATTGCAGCATTGGTAACAAATCTGATTAAATTTTGACATCGTATAACATAAGAACGCTTAAGAGAATGGCGCTGGTCTCAAGTCAGATAAAATCCCTGTTTTTTCGAAATTTGCAAAACTTGAAAATTTATTACATTAAAATGTCTACGCAAAACAACAATTATTATGATACGTTTTTCTTAATGAAGCGTTTTCATCAGAAATAGAGAATGAAATAAAGTGATCAAATTTTCGAAAATATGAGTATTTTATGCGTAATATTACGTTCGTTAATAATTTGACAATTGTTTTGTCATAAACGGCTCGTGTGTGTGTGTGTGTGTGTGATGGTCTCATTTTCAGCGCATGCAAGAATGTGATGATGGTCTCATTTTCAGCGCAATCTTAGCATTTCCCAAACTTGAAAAAATCAAAATGGTAAATTCGAATTTCCTGTGCTTCCAGGCGGTGTTTTTGTCTTGTAATCAAGCACATAAATTTCAGAAACAACTGTAATTTATCATAAAAGCAAATAATAAATAACGTCTTATAATAATCGTAAACGTATTATAAATTTCTTAAAGTTGAATTCGATAAGTTTGCATTAATCATTTGAAACTTTTATGGTTTTTGCCACAAATATACACATTTATTCAAATATACGCAATGTGATACATATAAACCACAAAATTTAATCAAAACTGTTGTAGCCGTTTTAAGAAAAAAAATGTTTGAAAAAAATTAAACATTGCCTATATTGCATATATAATTACGATAAAATTACTAACATTTTCAACTAATTGTACACGACCTTATTTCAAAATCTATCTTTACAGAAGAGATTTTATGAAGGAAAAAAGTCTATCTTTTGTTCGGGAAATATCATTTGGGTAATTGGGGAATATAAATTTTGGAGAAAATGGGCTCAACGGTGCAGCCGTTAGCGTTTTTCTCAGACGAACGTATGGACGCACAGACGTTTTGCCGTCAATCGATTTTTTGATGTCAAGGACCCACTAAACATGGATTCTCGCTACACCATGTGTTAGAGGACTTTTTGGCCAAATTTAGCGATTGGATTTACCCATTTTTCGTTTCCGGGGTGCTGAAATAAGAGTTTTTGTGTCAATAGTTTGCCGTTTTTCCAAAACTCCATTACATAACTTTCTGTATACTGTGGTAGCGAGAAAGTAACTACTGTGACAGAAGACGAAGTGCAATGTTGCTTTGGTCGTAGATGACCAAAGACCTTGTAAATGACTCAGACGTAGAAGTGCACCGAACTTCAAGATTGATAATTAAGAGGAGAAGATCGTCAAATTTTCATTTTGAAAGTTTTCCTGTTAGATAACAGCGCTTTGTGTTGAAATTTCATATCACCCTATTCCGAGAACGTACTTCTTCTCCGAGGCGTATCTTGATTCTCCACTCCAATTAATTAAGCGCTGTTTCTATCGGAGATAGCACTGATAATTGACTATTTCAAAATAATCAAGTCGTGGAAGTGGTTTTCATTGCAGGGAGTTTGTAGCATAATAATCGGCAAAATACGTACAAAATACGTAATACTACTGCTTGAATAAATACTGTTGTTAAGTTTCGGGCTGTTTTATATATATATATATATATATATATATAAATTGATTTTAATTAAATACAATAATTAATCTATAGTTGCTGGTTTCTGCATCCTTTCAATTCTTCACAACATTTGACAATATCGTCCCTATGAACCTAATTGTCGATTTTGTGTGCGAAATTTTCTGTGTGAAAGCAGTGGCGTAACGTTGGGACCCGGGGGCGGGTAAAATAGGGTCTATTTTTAGAGGATGTTTTTATTATATAAGATACTAGCACTACTTGTGTTTGCTATACAGTTTATAACGGGGGGCCGACTGAAAATTTTGCGGGTGGGCCCCCACTCATTTCGTTATGCTACTGGATGGAGGTTAAAAATTTCTCCAATATTAGTGTCAAAGAATTGTGGTTATATTCATCTAATTAGTCAATCAGCGCTGCCTGCGCAACGCCTAGAATAAACATAATTCCGCCAACTTTAGCCATCAATTTACTTTTGTCAGTAATAGCAGATCGTACAGTCACGTCAATCTGTACGGTTTGTTTCTCTTCTCTCAATGCCTTCGGTGGTCATAGGAATCTCCATAAATTAGCGAATTCATCAAAAATCTCAATTAAGTTGATTTAGAAAATCTGTTCATAAAAAAATTGGGTAGATGAAAATTTTTAGAAGAGAACTTCCGAGCATCTTACTATAGAAACGAACTGAATGTAGTAAAATGCAGAGTAATATCGTCGATCATCAACGATTGTGTTGATCTATGGAATCATAAGATTAATGTTACATATGAAATAGGTTTTAGGAGACAATACTAAATCACTGACGTTATGTACTATGTTACTAACAGTTTAACAAAGATAATTTGCGCAAGATGGAGGAAATATTACACGAAAGAAATTTGGAATATAATAATTAGAATTATACATAATACAAATATTTTTACATAAGACAAACAATTTTTCAAATATTTTTACGTATTACAAATGTCTTATATATTTAAGAAAATTTGTATTATGAAGTAATCCTACAAATACAACTGTTCTGTCAAATGTGTCAAATTGTCATAGTTTACAAAACATATATAAAACAATATTTTTTTCTTCTACATCTTTTTTAATAGTTTTCATACGTGTGTTGTGTCTGTTGCTCAAAATACTACATTTCATCGTATCACATCGGCACCAATTTGATTAAAATTTATTGAAAAATGGACAATTTGATTAAAACCTAGTACTTTTCACGTAATTTTGGTTTGAATTAAATGTAAGTTATAAAAAAATTTCTAATTTTTTTTCTTTCCAGTTTTACCATGGAGATAACAATAACTTAAAAATAGCGCAGGTCTCATTTTTGTTGTAATTATTGAATGTTAAGACAATTGCAAAAGTTTGAAGTAACGCGAGGAAGAACGTGACTTGTAGCATCACTAGTTTAATTTATCTCAGTTTCAATTGTTATGGGGTAGTAATCGAGGTCATGGATATTATGTATCATCAGTCTCAACCACCTTCCTGCAAATCGAATCATAAATCACCACCAACAGATCTGTTTTGAAGAATGCCTTTGCGCCCCGCGGTTTGGAAATAAGGTCAGTTTTCTTTTTTGTGGGTCAAAGACGTTAGAAATGAATAGCGCTAAAACAGCACATAATTTCTTGCAATTTGAACTTTTGTAATATTCAAAAATTCTGAAATTTCAATGAAAAAGAAATTGCATAATTTTTAAGCGTCCTTTTCTCTCTAAGTCGAAGAAATTTTAAAAAATGACGCTATTTTTGAAAATTCTCTTTATACATTACATTAACATCAAGGGAAAATTACGCGGAAACTAATAGTTTTTTAAATGTACATAATCTTATTTACAGATTTAATATTTGAAAATACAATTAATTTTAAAATGTCTTCGTCATCGATACTGCGCGTTTGCAATTTTTTTATTATTATTATTATTATTATTATTATTATTATTATTATTATTACAATATTGTATATTTACAATATATTGGATTATTATTATTATTATTATTATTATTTGATGCAATTTTTTAAAATGCATAGAGTTCGCCAAAAATGCTGTCACGATCATTGCGAACCGTCCTTGGGGAAGTGAAAAATGGTCATTTTTGAAAACAATTTTGAAAATGTTAAGGATTAATGTAAAGTACCCAAACATTAAAATATGTTAAACTGATTAAACTCACAGACTCCAGTTCGTTTAGATCTATAGGGGATTTTGAAGAAAATCGTCTGAACTTTGACCACAGACGGATAGACACACGGGCGGAATGGCAGGCAAACGTTTTGCAACTCTTCAGTTTTTCGATACCCACTACCCCCTAGAACATGAATTTTGATTCCAGAACATGCTCGAGTACGTTATTGACATTATATTACAGAAATGCGGTTGATACAAATTTTTCTTACCAAATCCCCAAACACGATTTTCTACCCCGCATTACAACACTTCTTTACTATGTAAATTCGTGGTACACCAGAATTAAAAACACAGAATTTACCATTAGACTGCTATGTTAGAATAGTGTTATAAGAACTGGCTGAGGGAATAGTAGATACAAGTTCCAACATATTGAACTTTACGTATCCGCTGCAAATAACAGTAGAGTTCGTGCCATGTTTTAGTATTTCTTAGTTAGATTGATAAATTTTTTAAGATATTTGTGTGAGATGCCGAAAGTGAAGATTTCGTCAAGCAAAAGGAATGTTCACCCATAAATGCAAATATTGTATTTCAATAAAAGGATTCTGATATAAGTTCGAATGAAATAATATGTATACATTATATTATGTGTACATTATAGTACATTTAATGAACATTGGTATACTTATTATTATTATTACAATGATTCGTGATTATTATTACTAAATTCTCAAATATCATTTTAAGAGTAAAATAGTATAAGATTATGACCTTTTACTATCGATAGTAAGTTGAAAAGTACTCTTCAGGATAACCGTATCTTCCCATTGTTTAATAACCAATCAGAAAACTTTCCTTCCAATCATTAAAAATAAATCTCAACATATTACAACACTATGCACTGCTTGATTGTATGTTGCAATGGTCCATATCCTGAAAGCGTGATAAATATAATTAGCACTTGAGATATCAAGAGCTTGAAAACGGTATAAAATGAGAAAGTTCGAAGCGATGGTCAACCAGTGCAAAATGGCTCCGCTGACGTTGGTTCTGCTGGCAACAGCTTTATTGGGCATTGGCCATGTCTCTGCAAGCTGTTCATTTCGTCATTCATTATTGCCGGTATGTAGCAAATTTCATCAACCGCTTTCAAACGTTGAGTCGCGGGACAGTGGTGTACGCGAAGATACATGCAATGGATATTTCCATTACATTATTTTAAAAAATGTTGAAAAAATATTTGAATAATATAAGAACTGCGAAATGTAAATAATTATGATATTGCCTTATTTCAATAACATAGTTTTAAAAAAGAGGAAAAGCGATTTCGTGTGTACCGTGCTGATAGGAAATTTTTTATCAATTATATACCGATTAACGCCACTGTTAAAGTCAATTATGAAATACGTATGGTAAGCATCTTATTACAATTAAAATGAGGTAAATACACTAAATATGACAATCAGAATTATGGTAAATGTAACGATTCGAGTTTAGTTCAACACTTCATGCACTTTTAAAAAGCTTCAGTTTTCTATAATGTTCATTTAAGGTTGATTCTTCATCCTGTAAAACGTGATTGATTAAAACGCAGACTGATTTTCAATAGAGACAGTAATTTATCATCACGCTTATTACGAAATCAATTATTGTTGATTTTTGTGGGCCATGGATCTTAGAACAGTTGTTTTAAGGATGAGCACAGGAGAGGGCTAAATGGGTAGTAACCTCTTAAACATTGTGAAAGAGGTCCCTTGGATTTGTCTAATAAAATATTTATGTAATGTTATATTTCTGAATAAAATACGCTTAGAACCAGTACATAAAATTTAAGTCACAGTCATGGTGATAAACGGAAGGACACTGTCTTCAGATGATTCGTTGTCTTGTAGTTGCATTATTTTTGCCTTATTTGTGTGTTAACTATAGTTTTATGCCTTACACACTACATGATGTAAAAAATTTCATTTGCTTGGTTGTGAACGTTGACACTTTTGCTGCAGTTAATAACTTTTTCACTTGCATTTTTTAGTAAGTAAAATAATTTTGTGTTTATTTTGAATGTTTTTAATTAATGGCAAATATAGTACAATTTAGCCAAACTTTACAATGTAACTGGGTACTTTGAATTAAGTTTATATTTTCTACAATAAAAATTTTACTTTTGAAACTCTCCCGTGTGAAATTGTACAGAGAGATGTGAATGGATAATTGGCGGGTTTACTTGTGGGGTCAACGCGTGAGTTTCAGTTTGCCCCAAAAGAACTTGTTACGTTATGGCAACATTTTATTGTAAAAAATTGAAATCATATTAAATGGATTATACAAAAATATGCGAAATGACGTAAGTGAAAAATTCCTACATTTTTATAAAATACTATTTATTGAATATTCGGTAACGGACGCATTCCGGAAAAAAAGAGAAAAAACTCAAATCTACCCTGGCGAACAATTTAGTCTACTGTCGTTAATAACCTTTAAAAATTCAGTCGATTACATTTGAATTCTAGGAACCATCACGAATAAAATGTGGCGAAGTCGGGAGTCAAGCCCTGCAATAATCACCCAAAATACATTTTAAAGAGTAACTGAAAATTGTAGTACAAGTAAAATATGTAGTGTAAATGGAAAAGTTTAATAAATAAGAAAGTTCAAAAATGTAGTAGCGCCCCCTTTTGATTACGACTGCGCACGTCTGCGACTCTTGCCTTCTCGTAACGGTTATCAGAAACTGATCTCAATTTTGTAGCAGATAATTAAACTAGATGAAGTATATTTTTCTACTGTTTGGATATAAAGAAAATAAGTGTACATAATCCTCTCAATCATGGTTTTGTGTAAAGGGACAGCTAAATTTCTCCTTACACTGTTAAAACAGGCGTATAATGTATTTTATATGTTTCAAAACAGTAAAAGTCTTCATAAACTGTTGCTTGACTGGTCTAGATGCACGAAAAAACTAATTTAAAAAATTAAATAGCGTTTCAGTCTTCACTAGAAACGTAATTATGTTAAGAGTAGTTCAAACGTTTCCACGATTTCCACGATCATTGCGAATTTCTTACTAGCTGGTCTAAGTGGTAAATAATAGAGACAATAGGGGAGGGAAATTTATACTGATGCTAAATTTTCTTCTTTGCGCGAATCATCTGATTATTCTTGTTCTTCAAGACATATCTTGGAGTCTAAAACACTACAACTAGTTATCAATGTTTGAGATACGAATGTTTATTTGAACAAAAGGTTTTGACTCGCTTTATCACAACTGAATAACATTTGCAATGAGGCAATCTAAAATAAAAACTACCAGTGTACCCACAACTATTGCACAAATTTACTTTTCCAATGTACAGTCTCTTTTTCTTACCACGTTCTGTTTCTCTTTGTGTCAACGCCCCCTCTCGGAAGAGTGTACTCAAAAGGCCACGCTTAACGATTTCATCCGGCTAATTGGAGTTGGAACGGCGTTACCAGCAACTACAGTGAAAATCATATTATGGGAAGCATTGATCACCGATTTGAGAAAGTGAACGAATGTGATCCTACAAATCGTCAGTATCGATTTATCTAACAGAGTGAACAAATAGATAATGTACGCCGAACAAATAGATAATACGCCGAATAACGTTATAATGAATATTTGAAATCACCTAGAAACTTATAAATCTGAAGTAAAAAGTATCTTTATTGTGACAAAAATCTTTTAGAAACAAAATAAAACTGAAGACATAGCTTCAATGGTTATTTATTTCTTGCAATGCCGTAAAATCAATAGCGAGCTATAAAATGTGCGATATTTTGTTAATCACTTAGGAATGTTAGTTATGCTATTAGAAATATATTAAATAAATAAAGTTTATTTAATTTCAGACTGTGCAGCCACTTATCCTTGCCAGCAATGATTACACCGACGTGCGCAGAGTCGTAAAAACAGATTCTACTTCCCAAATAACGGTGGAACAGGGAGACTACATCACTCTGGTGTGCCCTGGTCCCTACAATTATTTGTCAGGCGGCAATGTATTTCCTCAGCAACTCCTCAAAGCCTTGTGTGTATCTGGATCCAGCTTCTTGGCTGATGGACGAACGATCGACGTTAGTCAGGTATGTATCATTTTAAATAATTCAGGCCACTCACATTTCTTTTCTTATTCACTTCTTTGACATTTTCCTTAATCAACAGTCTGTTTTCTCATTCATTTTAGTTAACTATCCTTAGGCTAACGTTTCTTACCTCTCTTCACAGAATAATTTCGTGTTTGTGAAGGAATACGATGCGCTTAACGCTCCTACGGGCTAGGAGATGTATTGCGTGTATATAGACGCAACAAATTAAAAACATGTTTATACAGTGTCTCTCGGTTTTGATTTGTACGCTCACCTGACTGCTTGCGGCATTAATGCTCTTCTTTGCTGTTTGATTCCTCGTGATTGTGGTTTTTCTTTTAACCTATCGCCGCCTACCAATCATTGTTGGTCTGGTTAGACTGCCAATGCATTTTATTACTGGACAAGGGCGAATGTGTTAAATGTCAGTTGGTATTTGGGATGTTTTGAATTGAAACATTATTTGTGATGGCTTTGACTGTTTCATCAAAAGTATGTTGGTGAATGGGGGGAGCGTTAGCTACTGTTAGGTGGATGAAATGCAGTTCTGATGAACAAATTTTCTGCTGTGGTGTGATGCAAAGGAAATGGCTGTTGCTGTAATTATATCTCAATTTTCATAGAGGGCGGTGGATCTTACTAGGAATTTGAAGAGGTGTATTTTCGTTCTAGTTGTTACGCAAAGAGAGAAGAGTTAGGGGTAAGTATAATAAAGCTTTGGTACATAATATTCCTAGATTATTTTACTAGAGCATTCCTTTTCACTGTTTTATTTGCCTATATACATACGTATCGGGCAAAATACGTAGGGTAAGGAAAGTTATGTAATGCTGCGCGAAATCGATTTCGAGACTTCAATGGGAATACACGTTTCGGGGTCCCCTGATACCGGAAAAAGCTTCGTCCGTCCGTCCGTCCGTCCGTCTGGTGTGTGTTACCAACGTTGGCACCTAAACTATGAATACGTGTTTTTCCAAACTGAATAAATTCCTGTCGGTTTGTCCTTAGTCGAAGCTCTGAGATTTTGAAAAACATTCATTAATTTTTGGGTGCACTTTATATGCAGCCTCCGGGACATTTTCCAAATTTTCTCGAAAGTAGCTCCAAAGTTTTTCAATAAATTTCTTGAAAGAATAGAGTGAAATACACTTATTAAGGGTGGAATGGGTCCAAATTGCACTGATAACTGAATTTTTGATAACACCAAATTTTGTATTTTTGTCGTCGATTTCCGACAAATACAAAATTGATGATACAGATTTTACTTTCAAATGAAATTTGTTTTCCATAATTAGTTCTTTTATTAAGGTCATGTATATTTGTTTCAAAACTTTAGAAGATTTTCAGCAATATTGTTTGCAATATGTGTAATTAAAAAACAACAAAACAAAATTTTCTTGAAAAAATCTCATTTTTTTCTTTTCCCTTTTCTTACGAATAGTGCTAAATGTACTCAGTGACATAAGCGCCATTGTGCTCAGTTCTTTTGTTTTTTTCAAAATTACAAAAATGTTATTTTTTGACTTCTTCCGAGTTGTTAAATTTTTATTAGAGGCGATATGTTTACATTATTATTATTATTATTAGTATTAGTATTAGTATTATTATAATTATTATATATGAGTATATGCGTCTTAAATAATGTCTTGTAATTTTTCTAGAAAATTCAATCGTTTTCCACAGAAAACGGCGTTAATATACACATGTCTAGCAATTTGTGAACTGAATACTAATGTATTTTTGAGTTAAAGTGACTTAACTGACTTCAAATTAAATTTTTCGAAAACTCAAAAAATGTTGTGGGAAAAAGAGTGTTAAATTTTGAATGTACCATAAGCACTTAAACACCATTTTCTTAAAAATGTCTCCAAATTTTCCAAAGAAAATTGTTGTTTAGCTCGAGTTTTTACTGCTCTTTAATCTTATTAAAATAATATCTCCGGTTTTATTATTAGGGAACCGAAAAATTAAGAAAAAATCAAAGTAATGTATTTGGGAAAGCGATAGATGGCAAATAGCAAGAGTATGTGGCAAATTTATATAGCTAGCTGAGACTAAAGAAAATAGAAAACTAATATCGGAAAGTCTGTGCTAAGCTGAACCTCCACTCATTTCAAATTGGATATCTAATATTTCACGGATAGAGACCAATCAATTGTGGTGTTATACATCGTAAGTTTCAGAGAGTTGTATTTTTCTCTGGCGAAGATTTTTGCATTGCATTTATTCTCGTTTATATTCACTCCAATGTCTAAACAGCGGATTCTAAAAGTGAACTGTGATTTGGAAGATTGTATTTATTGTTTTGAGGTTAGGATTTTCACAGCGAGAGCAACAATGCCTACATAAAGGAAGTGCTTAATGTGCAGAATTTGTGGAAGATCATTTAAAGAGAAGAAGAAAGAACTGGGAAAGACCTACTATTTGTGAGCACCGTCGTGAATATGTTTAATGTAATTTATAAATGTATTTATTATGAAAGGTTCAATGAATGAGATAATGTTGGAGAAGAAGGAACATTAGTTGTGACCAGTGTGTGTGTATTTTGGATAGTTGCGATTTTTGATGCACGCAGTCAAATGCAAGCGTACGTTGAATGGTAGTGCTGGTGAAGGGCGTCGGAGTGTAATATAAGAACCAGCTTCCAGCTGGTGGCGTAGTACATGGGTGATGATCGTTTCCGGAACCAAATTTTTCCTGATGAGATTATTTTTACGCTGGGGAGATTTTGACGTTTAAGAATGTGTTTTTCATTATTTTCCCAATGTTGGAGATGACAGTAATATGGTGAATGATATCAGGATAATTGCGGTCCTCCTGCGGATTAGGTATGAGGACGATTATATCACGTGGCCTTGTTGGTGGAAAGCATGATATTTTGAATCCCCTCATGGCTTCAGGATTTTTAATGACTCATTTTTACGGTGTTTTCGCATTATTTTGGATGGAATTTACGAAATGTTTCTTGATATTATTCTCGATCTTCTGTGAATGTATCTCGATCTTTGTCGCGCTGGGCTTGCATCTATCTGCTTGTTATTGGTAGTAGATTAGAATGAGGTTTAATATTTCTGGAGGTAATAAATATTGGGCACTCTTAAACGCTCTAGAAACAATTGTGGCTATTTGGTGGAATCCAGTAATTTTTCGTTTACCATTTCTAATCTTGAGTCAAATTAATTTGTGTTTTTTAAATGAAGTTCCGTCGGTAGCTTGGAGGATGACAATGGTTACATTTTTTCAATTTTTATTCTTACCATAATACAAAAATAATAATAATGATAATGATAATAATAAAGGCATACCACAATCATTTTTACTAATTTTCTGTTAAACCACAGGTGGCGTGTTACTCTCCACCAACACCAGACGTGGCTGTCAAGACGCAAGGAACGTGTGGATTAAACACAATTGCTATCGACGTGGGTTACAATATTCCTGCTCCATTATCTTTCTTCCTGAAATTGTATGAAGTATGCTACGACCCCGTCAAGTTAACCCCCATGAACGCACGACATTTAGTCGTCCCAGGGAGCCAAAGAAGTGCCAGCGCACCATACAGTGCCTATCTGTTGCCCATAGAACCAGCCATAGGTATTCCAGACCATATATTATTTCATGTTATTAATAATTTTTATATGCAGAGTGCGAGAGAAAATATGGATGGATGATATCACATAGCGGTACCTTACAATCACAGCAGCATAAGTCCGAATTACTTCGGGAAGAAATTGTGTTTCAAAGTTATACACTTAAAGAAAGGGTTATTAAGTTCTTTAATAATGGCAAACTAAGAGGTAGAGATTTGGATATTTAAGGGCGAAAAAATACTTCGTACGCCTTCCTTCGGAAGGGAAGTAACGCCGGTTGTTCCATGTTAGTAAATTTACTTGCATGTAAAAGATTCTCAAGCCTAAATGTCGCCTCTGAGCTAAATTCAAATAGCATGTTACGTCGCCCAAGAAATATCTCCATTCTCCGCCAATTGGTGAAAGGAGCGTAGCGAAATTTGCGTGGTCACACGGAAGAGCAGAACTCATGGCCCTAGTCTCGCCACGTAAAATAGGGAATAATTCAATTCAATCAATGTCAAATAGTTTTCGTTGTGCTAATGTAAGAACGTACACATTCTTATTTTAAAAAAACTGTTTCATTTTTTAGATTACTTTCTATCAAGCGAGATTCAATCGTTCACTCTGCAACTGGACGCTGAAAGCGCAAGGAAATATGTTAATGAAACTCATTATTTGGAGACGAAGCAATTAGTACCCGCAGAAGACTTTGTGTTCAGCCCAATGCAGTTATCTACATTTTTCTATTTCAATACGGTAAGTAATTATATTTATTTGCAATTAATAAAATATGTGAAACTCAAATACTTTTTATACATTCTGGTGAACGATCCAATGCCGATCATGACCTTCTTGGCCCCACGAATTAAAATTTTTTTTCGTGTTTCACACGATGTGTCGAATACACCCTGGGCCTACACTAAAAATGAAAATAATTTTCCTTAATTTTTGCCAGAATATACTGCGCTAATAAAAACTGTATAGGTTATATTTTTATTATGTCTAAAAACTCTTAACTAAACTAAATTTTCATTGTAATTATTTTAAATTTGTCCAACATATTTTATTGAAACAAGATATTTATTTTTAATATAATTAATTGATCAATAATTGTATATTTAAATACTTTTATGTACCTTAATTATTAGAATATCATTAATTTTTGTGAATTTTGTTGGAGGGGGGGGAAATAAAATAATAGCAATATTCAAAATCCATTGTAGCACATGAAACATATAAAAACCTTCAATTAGCAATTCATGTTTGTACTGGCATAACAGTTTCTGAAAAGGTCAAGACCTATCAGATGAAACCCGGCCTTGCTGCCATGTGTTAAAGGGATATAACTGGTCAGTACATACATATCTCTAAGTTGTACTCTGGTTTTATCAACCTGGAAAATGACGTTTCCCATCCTCACACAGCAACAGATACTGCAAAATTCGAAATAAAGCGCACACAATAAACCGCCCCGACCAGGAATTGAAAGCTGGATCACGTCATGGAAATTCAGTAAGCTGACAAGTGAACTAGTCGTGAACTCGCAACACGTAAAAAGGATTAAAACTCAACTAAACTTCATTTCTCTTTTTGAAATAGAATAAAAAACTATATAGAAATAATTCACTAGGATAAATGATGTAATTAAGGAAAATAACAATAATGCAATCAGTATTTAAAATTGATTTCGTTATTTATTTCTTTTACCTTCCAGGTCCCACTTTGGAATGACTTCATCTCCGTTTTCTGGAATCCCCTGGAATCATCTATTAGACAGCTGACATACTCTCAAGGAGAGCTCGAAATCTACACGGGAATAGTAGGTGTTGCCACGTTGCCAGACAGCATTGGACACCAGGTGTCCATGTTCCTGCACGCTAAAACCAATGAGCTATTTTTGCCGCTGCCTGCATTTCTATCAAAAGCTGTCGTTAATTCCAAAGGTCAACAAGTCATTTTCTTACAAATGCAGCACGTATCAGAAGTTACAAAAACACTGGCGGTAAGTTCTCGTATTAGTTGCTAAGAATAAAATCAATGAATATTCCATATCCTTTGTAAGCGTGTTTCTTTTTGATTAGCACAGATGCTGAGCATGTTAGTTCATATAATTACGAGTTTATTTCTGAAATTTGGAAGATAGATAAATACTAGGTTCATGTGCCAACGCTTGCAGATTTTTAGCGCTAGCAAAATAGCCTACGAGTGCTTCTCGCCAAATGACGCTTGTTGTATCTTCTCTCATCGATTCTTTGTCCAGATGTAGTATAAGCCGTTGTATAAGTTCCAATGATCGTGTGCTCTCTTAGCTGATGGGTTCTTGTAAGTGGAAGCGGAGAGCGTGTACGCAGAGATCTCTTTCACTCACCTGCGTTCGATTCTTCATTTAGAGGTTACACATGCTAATGTGTGCTGTGTTTGTGCAAGCGGAGACCGTGTGCTCAGAGTACGGGAGCTCTCTCCTTTTTTCTCATCTTTTAGATGCGTGCGCTGACACGTGCTGTGTGCGCGCGCAGGTGAAGAGCGTGCGCTCAGAACAGGTGTGCTCTTCCTTCTCTTCTGCTCTTCTTCCAGATGTTTGAACAAAGTGTGGTGTGTGTGTGTGCGCTGTTGGAGAGCGTGTGCACAGAGGAGGTTAAATTCTTCCGTCTGTTCGATTCTCCTTCTAGATGTGTGCTGAGTACGCAGGCAGAGAGCGTGCGTAGAGGACATCGACTCTCTCGTCTGTTCGATTATTCTTCTAAATATTTGAGCTAATACGTGCTCTGTGGACGCAAGCGAAGAGCGTGTGCGCAGAGAGCGTGTTCTCTCTCCTCTGTTCCATGTGATAAGGATTTGAGCTAAAGTGTGCTCTGTGTTAGCAGTCGGAGAGCGTGTTTTCAGAGGACGTATGCTCTCTATCCTGATTCTTCTTCTAGAATTTTGAGCTGATGTGTGCTCTGTTGCACAGGTGGGGAGCGGGTGCGCTGAGAGGGTGTGCTCTCCTCCCTGTTCTATTTAATCAAAATGTTTGAGCTAAAGTGTGTGCAGGGGGAGAGCGTGTGCGCAGAGGACGTGAGCTCTCCTCTTTTCGATGTGATAAGAATTTGAGCTAATGAGTGCTGTGTGTGCGCAAGCCTGAGGACGTAAGCTCTTTACTCTGTTCGATTCTTCTTCCATATTTTTGAGCTAATGTGTGCTGTGTATGCGCAAATGGAGACCATGTGCGCAGCGGATGTGTGATATTTCCTGTGTTCCATGTGATAAGAATTTGAGCTAATGTGTGCTGCGTGTGCGCAGGGGAGCGTGTGCGCAGAGGACGTGTTCTCTCTATTCTGTTCCAAGTGATAAGAATTTGAGCTAATGTGTGCTGTGTGTGCGCAGGGGAGCGTGTGCGCAGAGGACGTGTGCGCGCAACTGCGCTGGCTGCCGTGGCGCCACGTGCCCGCTGAGGAGCGCCCGTCCATCACGTGCTGCCGGGCTGACGACCCCGTCCTGCGCAGCCGTCTGCCCCGCGCCATCCCGATGAGGGCCGCCCCCTCAGGGCTCCTCACCGGCGAATGAGGCTGCGCGCGTCGCCGCTGCGATCATTTGCTAATATCATTGCTAATATTTTAATATGCTCCATTTGTTTGTTCCATCTGAACCACAATTTCTAATTTGGACGAAAAATAGAAAAATTGTTTCATAATTTGTAATAATAATTTCAATTTTTTTGAATGAGATGTAAAAAAATTATGAATTGTTTTTGTGTTGTTTTAATGAGTAAATAAAAACAATATATTGCATTGTGAACATTATCTTTGCAAACTACAACAAAAAATATATAATTGTTTATATATTATATTTCATGGCAAAGAGAAAATTAATATCGAATTTCAACATTATTAATATATTTCATTATGCTATTACATAGCATAATGAGATAAAGCTGGCTTGTGAGTATTGTCTTATAATATCAATTTATTGTTCTATATTTCATTATAATAGTAGCTTTAATAGCTACACTATATCACGTTAAGATTTTCTTCTAAGAATTTTTGAAATCTTAGTATATGAAATTTGTACGGTTTCGAAACTTATTTTCTTGAAGCAGTCCCTCTTCTTAAATGAGGAACAGCAAATATTGATCATGTACACGTAGGCTTCCGCGGCTCGAGTCGATTAGTTCTAGGCTGTCCGGGTGACGCCGCGTCACCCGGACAGCCTAGAAGTAAATATTGATCATGTTATTTTACTTCATTATAAAAAAGATAAATCAAAATTTAGTATATTTCTCAACTAATTAATGTGACCAACGATTGACAGTTTTCCTATTTGTCAAGTAGATATTCTCTTTGCTAAATTCTTCATCACAAGATCCTCATAATTTGGGGAATCATCTCCTGTATTCTAATATGCTGAATCGTCTGAAGAGCGATTATTTTAATTCTACTTCTCCTCTTTCCCGCTTTTCACCATTTTTCTATAGTTTTCATTTTAATTTTTTCTCCTTGGACAAATATCTTCACAATGTGCTTCCATAAATTGACGAATAAAATTGCAACTTAAAATGGAATACATCCATATAACTACTCTAAACTACGATTCAACTGATGAACAATATTTGTAGATGTGACACTTCAGGAAGTACGAAAATAAACCTAATTTTCACAGTTTGCAAGGGAATTATGCGTTGTAGCCATAAGTTGTACCTACAAGTTACAGTATTATTTTTATATTTAAAGTCGCATCAACATCTAGGTCGTCTAGCGACCACTATTGCGTTTAACACTATGGTAACTCTGAAGATGACATGATATGGTGATATTAGGGAGTGTAAGAACGAGCACAACTACAACCATACCCGAGGCGGGAGTCGAACCCGCAATCCTTCGGCCCAAGACACTATCACATTAACGATCTCAATCATCCGGACCGGCAAGCAACCGTATTGTTGTAAAATTCAATGCTCCAAGTCTGGGTTTCCTCCCACCTGTTTTCCGTATGGTATAGTTGGTTGACTTATTGTTAGAATGCTTTATGTATTCCACGTAAACGTTCGGACTCTAAGAGTTGGACGTTGTTGGGCACAGAGAATACGAATTATCTAATAGCTCGGAGAACTAACAGCGTCTCAACTGGCGTTGTGGCTCTACCGAGGGAGCTTTGGTCCATGAGGACTTCATCCTTTGGGACCGTCACGGGCAGGTGTAGTCTATTCGCGACTTCTAAAGCCTCTTTCTGCGAAATGAGGGATGTGCCATTGGGGCAGGGGAAGTTTATATCCCTGTCTTAGTCAGAGGCAGAATAAATATATTACTTTGAATACCGAATGCCATTTGAAATAGTTTATCTTATCGGGGAGCACTGTATATCTAACATTCAAAAACGAGAATAAATAGAAGCGCCAAATAAGAGAATATTAAGTTAGACGTTTCTAAAAACTTGCAAAACTGCGAACCACGTATCACTTTAGAGAAAATCAATAAATTCGAGTGTGTGTACTTCACAGACACAGAGCGACCAATGAATGGTTGAATAATATTGTCGCCATGATTGTGAGGCTGGAATGATCGTTTCCCAATTAATATATTTACTTATAAATTGATTGTTCATTGACATTTGTACATGTTGTAATAAGACATTGACCGGGAGACGTGGCTCAGGACATGAACTGATGGCACTGCAGTGGCTGTCCGTGAAATTCTAGGTTCGAGTCTCAACGCTGGCAAGATTTTCGACACTGCCTAGTTAACTAGGTAGGGTTCAGTCGCTGTCTGGAGGAGAATTCTAGCGGCCGGCTACTCTAATCGATAGTTTTCCGTTGTTTCTCTGATCCATACCAGGTGAATGTCAGAGTAGTACCTTCACAAACGGGTCACGGACCGCGCGCGACCTGTCCTTCCTGTTTCTTTTCCTATCCTTACCTCTTACATACACGCACTACACTACCAGACATGTGAGGACACCTCCCGGGAGCTTAGAGCTTGTCCCGGCTGGAAGATCCCTGGTTGAGGTAAATTACGAAAATGAAAAGGGACGGTAGGGCGGCGCCGGGTCTCGCCACCCGAAAGAATATTGCTACCTCCCGCGATATAACATTTACTACCCTGCACGTGACTAATGACCGTAGCAGTTGACGTGTTGGGAGTCTCTTATAAATTACAGATTGTGAAGGATATTTCTAATCTTGTTATTTTCAATTCAGGTTTCTGGATATTAACTTCATGTGCTCAGATAACACCTTCACGATACCTTCAGCGAAATCTTTTAGTATTTTACCCAATGGAACATTAATGCATAGCTTTAGTTCTATATAATTGGTAATAATGCATCTCACTCACTCTGGTCGACAGGAATATTGCGTACCGCTTTTAGCGCCATTTCTAGGGGATAATTCCCTCGCTTGTAGTAAATTCTTATCAGCTGACCACTGACTAATTTTGGTAAACAAAAATAATAATTTGACAATCAAACATTTGACTAAAATCCGATTGCAGATTCATTATTTGCATTTTCTAGCACTGAAGTAATTTAAACCACCTAACTTATTTCAGGAGTCCTTTCGTTTCAGACCACTAAGCTACAGTTCTATAATCAACTGCTCTAGCTGGTATCATTTAGTTAGAGATAAAAGTTTGTAGGTAAATCTGTTACAAATGTTAAAATGTATAATTTCTTAGCTAATGCTGTTTAATCATTGAAATACATTACATTCGGTTATGGACTAATCATGCAATCAATAAAAAAAGACACACAAAATACAGTGTAATCAAAAAGCAGTGAAGAAAACTGCGCAAATTGAAATTGTAATTATTAATCGAGAGGGAGAGAGAGAGTGAGAGAGAGAGAAAGAGAGAGAAAGAGGGAAAGAAAGAGAGAAAGAGAGAATGAAAGAGAGAAAGACGGAGAAAAAGAGAGAAAGAGGGAAAGAGGTAGTTAGATAGAAAGTGGTAAGAAGAAAGAAACAGAATAAAAATATAAGAAAGGGAAAGAGAGAGAAGTTAATAATGCAACATATTCATCCAAATGGATTCAAACAATTGTCCACCTTGAGCTGTTATGGATGTGGCCTACCTGTAGATGGGCGAAGCGGCGCCCCCCTTGTACCAGATGACGAGCGCCACCTGGTCGCCGCGTGCAGGGGGGCGGAGGTCGCAGGGCAGGCGTGCCACGCCACCCAGCACGGCTGCCTCTTCGGACACGGCGGCTGCAACGACAGATACACTGCATTTAGCCACTCCCATGCAAAGCATTTACAGTGTATTTTCTTTCCTTTAATTTGATCACAATAATATATTAAAAAATCATTTCGTGCTAGGAAATTCATTTAATAAAAATGGTTAATAGTATTAATTTAAATTCATTCATTCAATAATAAAACGCATTCTTTAATGAAAATGCTTGGTGAATGGTAACAATAGGTTTTGTCAGGTATAAAGAGTGTGATGTATTTACGTTTCATACATTCTTCTTAAATTACAGTAATTAATTTTGGCCACAAAAATGGTCCTCAGGAGCCATAGTGCAGCAGTCTGACATCTGTTTATCACATATTA